CTGAGAAATTATTTCTGATTTCATTTTTTCCAGATCCCCTTTTGTTGCCAGTTCAGTGGGTCCAGGTTGTTGCGTATCAGAGTGTTCCATCTCATTTCCCTTTGGGGTTGCTGTAGGTGATCTGGAAGTCTGGTTTTGAGACTTATTTACTTGTCTTCTCATTTCAGACCCGGGGGGGGGGTATGGTACTGTTGGTGCCCGCGTGGCTCACCTCCTCTGAGCTGGAAGATATGGGACAGGGGCTCTGAAGCCCCTTCCTCTGGGCTAGGAGCAGTGGGATGGAAAACCCTTTCCTCTGGGCTGGGAGTGGTGGGACAGATGGTGTCCAGGAAGCCCCTTCCTCTGGGTTGGGAGCGGCAGGCCGGATGGTGGCCCAGAATGCCCTTCCCCTGAGCCACAAGCAGCGGGACAGTCAAATTTGGGTAATTTTGTGAAATGTCAACAGACTTCATTTAGCCAGTGCTATCATGAAAACATTCCTGAATCTTTTGTGATGATATATATCAGGACAATCTTTCCTATCACATTACAGGAACACAATTCACAAACAGAAGAAAAGCATAGTGTGATATCTCCTTAATCTAATTCAAGCATTGTCTACATGTGCCGCAGCAGGCACCCAGAGCTCTCTCTGATGGCAAAGAGCCAGATTGCTACAGCCAAGGTTTGACAAATTATCAACATGCATACAACAGCAAAGATCACATTATTTGTGCAAAAGCACACCAAATGTAAACTTTTACCTTTCAATAGCATCGCTGAAATCTCTGTTATTGTGTTTTTCTTTTAAAATGCAAGATGTTAATGTATGAGTTGTCTTTTAAAAGCTCAGTATTCAGGTTTAATTTCAGTGTTGGTACTTTGCAATAAGTGATTTATGGGTTGCAGTTTGGGTACCTGGTCTCTAAAAGGTTGGCCATCACAGCAATAGACTATTTTTCAGCCATAAAAAGTATAGATGCACTGATTCATACTCTGACATAAATGAACCTTGAAAACATAATCCTAATTGAAAGAAGCCAGTTACAAAAAATATTGCACAATTCCACTTATATTCCATTTTATTCTAAAACAGGCAAATCTATAGAGCTAAGAGGTAGATTAAACATTTACAGAGTTTGGAGAGAAGGAGCGATAAAACAAGTTTCCTTTTAGAACTGATAAAATTGTTTTGAAGTGAGATCATGACTGTGTTCTATGAATTTGTAAATGTACTAAAATTACTAAATTTCACAGTCCAGAATTATATCTCAATGAAAAAAGGATCGACAGAACAAGTATCCCCCAACATTAGTGGTCAAGGAGATACTGAGCTATAGTTTCTTCTTCTTAGCTGCACTTACCTCAGGGTACAGGGTTACCAGCAGAAACATTACTTGTTTTACCCCCAAATTTTTACTATTAATGTTACACTTTCCTCCTTACCTTAGACTGATAGAGTAGTTTGGGGAAAGGAGGGTTGGTGTTATAGATTGGATATTATCTGTCTGCACATGTAAAAGCCTGGTCCCTATGGTAGAGGTGTTGGGAGGTGCTGCAAACCTTTAACATGTGGGACTTTATGAGGGGTCCTTAGGTCATTAGAGGGATGCTCTCAAAAGATATTGTGGGGTCCCAGTCTCTTCCCCTTGTCTTCTTCATGGCTCAATGATTGTCACCAGTTTTATCTAACACATGCTCCAAACTTCGTGTGCCAACCTGGCCAAAGGCTAAAACAAATGGGACCACACCCTCTTGGACTTGGACCTCCAGAAACATGAACCCAAAGAAACATCCAAATACTTCATAAGGAGCCTGTGTCAAGTATTCCATTATAGCGACTCAAAGCTGACAAATATCACTAGGCACAATTTTATTGTCTCTCTAGGCTCCATACTTGGAGGAAACCATGCTGTCTCCATTCCAACTGATTTTTCCATGTGATTTGTTTTTCTTAGTTGTATCCAGATATCTACAGGCCAGACTTTTCTTTAAGTTCCAGTGTGACTTCAGAGAGAAGAGCCCAGGTATATATTATTTGAGCAATCATTACTGTTCAGATATTGTAGGGTAATGTGTTTTTCTTTTCTTTTTTTTTCCCTTGGAGTAGTGTTTTCTCTTTTGAAATGTCAAAAAAAAAAAAGATCTTATCACTTAAACAGGAGGAAATATGTCATTTAAACCAAAAGGTTGTTTTATGTGGTATGTGATCACAGATAACTATTTAAGTCCTCAGACTATCTGCCTTGAAATCTCACCAGTGCAATTCACTTCCTATGTAATTTAATGTTTATTTCTTTCCTGAGTTCTGTCATCAATGCAATGGGAATAACTAAGGTTGCTGCTTCTTTTTACTCATTTTGTGATGTTGCTGATCAAACCAAATACCATACACATGCCAGGTAACTGTTCTATCACTGAACTACATACATCCAGCCCAAATGTACTTATTTTAATGAGTTGCTTTAAGGTATAAGAATATATACTCCAGCACAACAAAGTCTAATATTTATTAACATTAGTCTTCCTAGACTACAAGGCATATGCAAAAAATAAGGCTCCAGAGAAAATTGTGGCATTTACAGAACACACCCACCTCTTCCCATTACATGTATAGGGATTTGCTCCTTGGAAGGAGCCCATGACTGAAGCTAGTATACTAAACGGTGACTAAATTGTAAGGTGATGGTGAAATATGATCGTGACAGCTGAAACAACTTATTTTTTCTATTTCATATATATATATGAAATATAATAATTATATATATATGAATAATTTAAAAGCTATTATTCGCAATGACCCCTCTTTTGTTTCAAATTCTCTTCTCATTGCCAGAATATCAATAGAGTAATACAAATAACTTTCTCACTGACCTTAAGCTTCAGAAAAAGTCTGGAATGGGTGCAGATGGACTGGAGGAAGAAGGAAGAGCATCGAGGGGAAGGTAGTTAGACACTTTTCTCCAGTTTGCTAAGACACTTCCTCAGTATCTCTTTGGACTAGAGAAAAAACTATTTTCCTGGTCATATAAAATAATTACTGTAGAAATTGGCAGGCTAAGCAAAAGCTTTCAGAACTGAAACATAGCAACTACCAGCTTTTTATTTCTCTCATGCCCTAAACATGACTTCAAGACAATTCAATGTTCCAAAAATCAATGATAATTTTAGGTTGAGGGACCACCGTATGGAAGGGTGGAGTTGAAGGGAATGAGGAAGTTGTGATTTCAGAATTATTGTCCTTTGTGTTAGAAAACCATCTACATATATTCCAAGTGAGTCAATAATTGCCAATGATTGCAGATCTGTAATTTTCCTACAATGAAAAGGAAGTATATTGATAGGAATAATCCTGTCCTTTCTCATAAATTTGCATGCACTGAATGGTGAGATTTAACCTGCTTGAAAAAACTCAAGTTTATTTACTGGAAATGTTGATTGAAATGATGAAGCTGAGGTGGCCAAAAAAAAAGTAGCAAGAGAAGAGATACATTTTCAGGATCTCACCATCTACTACACAGAGGCTTACAACTGTTCCTTGCTCACTTCTGCTTGCTCCAAGAACACAAGTAAGTACTTCCAGCTGCTATAGAATCATAACGATGATGTGTTGTATGCAATGCATATGCTTCCTTCTATCTGATTGAATTTTATTTCCCTGACAAGGAAAAATCAAAATACCTCTTTTACTTAATCTTTTCTTTATTAAATAATTTGTTTCAAAGAGAACAAGTACTTCCCTACAAGCACACAGGGAGAGTCACTGGAAGCCACAGATCCTTGAAGGAAAAGTGAGAGAAGTGCTTTTCAAGAGTTAGCTGGATATGATCCACAGACATCTTGATCTTAGCCATTACAAAGCCTTGCTATTCAAACCTAAGTAGCCAATGAGGAACAAAATAAAAACATGTTCGATCAATTACTTACAAAATTGTTATGTGTTTTCATAAATAATTAGAAAATTAATACATGAATATTGTGAAAGGATTGAAATATAAAAAGAATAATTGCAAGAATTCCACACTACAAATATGTAATTTCCTTTAAGGAAATTTTGTTATAAAGTAATGTTCCATTCAAAAGGAAATCCAACATAAATCAGATGGTTTTTGAGGAGTTCCACATCATATGAACATGACCATGAATTCACTAAGTGAAGCAAGCACCAAGTTCATGCTTGTTCAGAATATCACAGGACAGTGGCTTCTATTCCCCTCTCAGCATCACATTAGCATTAGCAATGCTCTTCTTAGGGGCCAGGACAAACACTATACAACAAATTCAGAAGGTAGAATGTCGGTGTCAGCTTCTTTCTATTAGTCTGTTTGAACCTTGGTGTTGGCCAGCATACAGATAGATGGCCGGGATCTAGTGGCCTGATGGGTGGCAAGGGATGCTGGGCTCTGTGTGATCACAGAGCTATGGGAGAGACAAATTGTTCTTAAAGGCTTCCCATCTCCTTCTTGTGCCTGCATTTCCTCTGCCAGCTGGGCTGACCTTCTACAACTGCCCGACAATAAGATGTGAGTTTAAAATGTGAGGACAGCTGATGTAAGTGATGTTTTGATCGAAATCCAAGTGTTACACCATTAGATGTGTCTATGTAATTAATGAATGAGTATTTTTTGAAGTGGCTGATAAATTTGTGATGGTTTTTCAAAGAGGAAATTCATATTCTGATTTCAGTGTTGTGGGTTTATTTTTTGTTTCTTTATTATTTTCATTTCCTTTGACAGAGTTCATGTTTTTCTTTCCTGTGATTTTAGACAGATCTTTGGTTAATCTTTTCCTGTCTTATTTCATGAATCTTTCAGGTCCTTCATTTCAGTGAAATCACAGAGAAAACAACAGAAGAAGCTAGGAACTATCTCATGAGTCCCAGAGAAATTCCATCCCAGGAAAAATTCAGATATCTGAGAGGGCCATAGTTTTGACAGCAAATTTCACAGTAAAGGAAATCTGGAGGAAAGGCGTTAGGGCATCCAGAGTGGATTCACATTTCATTTTCACAGTTACCAGTTTCATGCTTTTGTTATACTCAGAGATCTGCATTGAACTTGTGATTATAGGTGTGGCACTACACAAGCTGCATTGAAATTCCAGCTCTGTCCCTCACAAATGGTGAACATGAGCAAGACACAACTGACCTGAATCACAGTAGCTACATCCCAGGAAACTGGGATTGAAAAGAATCTGACTGGATACACAGAAACATTTAAACAGTGCCTGGCCTATTTTACATAGAAAGCAATAATAAAATTTAGTTATAACTATAAAATAAAACAATTATAATGCAATTATATTATTGATTCACTATTAATTGACTCCACAACAGGTTCAAGAGGAATAAAGACAAGCACAGGTATATTTTGTTTTGTTTTGTTTTGTTTTGCTTAAATTCTTTTATTGGTACATTATAGGTATACAATACGTTTACATTTATCATTAGGTGTTTGTACCTGTACATGATGTATCTTGGTTCTTATTTTTTCCCCATTACCTTGTGCGCCTTTCACCCCTCCACCCTTCCCTATTTACATACTTTGTTTCCATTTTTTTTCTTTTCCCATGCTTTTTCCTTTCCATTCATTCCTTTCCCCATCTCCTCCCTACACTCCTACCCCTTTGGTCGTTTTTCTATTTCAGAGTATCAATTATTAGTTATCCTTTTAATCCTTATTTACACTCTCATTTTCTCACACTAGAGAAACTATTCGGTATTTACACGTGTGTTTTATTTATTTCACGTAAGAGTATGGCCTCAATATGCATCCATTTAACTATAAATGACTCTAGTTTCTCATTCTTTATGGCTGAGTAGTACTCCATTTTATAAAAAAAACCACATCTTTATCTGTCCATTAAACTTTGA